AGTGTCAAAAGAAGCTTGTAAGTACAGTCTCTTTAGCATTTTGTCTTTGCATCTCCTGAATAATTATGAGGTGTTGAATAATATATTTTTTTACAATGTGTGCAAAGACTTCCTCTGCAGCTCCAACCTTCCCGGGCAGACATATGTGCGTGCGCTAATTAATGGAGCAGGTTATTTATCCTGACTATTTATAGACGCCCCTCGCTAGCGTGGAGGCACCGTCGCTGCTCTGGCTGGAGTAACGCGATTCCAGACCGACAGTTCCTGCCCCCGGGAGCAGCTTTGTCCTGGAGCCTTCACGGGTTGGTTTTTTTTCTAGATGTTTCCGTGAAAGGTGAATATCGAGAGTCGTAAACGTGTAGTTACTGACCAGCTATGGTGGCTGTCTGCTCCAGGTCCTGGTGGAGGTCTTGGATGAGATTTTGCTTGGTTTTGCTGAGATCTTGTCATTATAAAAAAGTTTACGTTAACGGGCAGAGAAAACAATGCTTAAGGCTCTGGGATTCTTGCTTTCCCCTGCTAAGCACAAACCTGTACTTCAGAGCTTCGTTGCTTGGAATCTGTTTTCTTACCATTTGTCGCTCAGAAATGATTGTTGTCTCTTTTTTTTGTGTTTTGTTTTCTTTTAACCAGAACAGGAGGAAGTTTGAGTTTGTGTGCCGCGCTGTGAGCCCGGGCTGGGCACCTTGAGTTTTATTTCTGACTAAGCCACTCGCTGCTAGCAGAATCCTTGGCAAGTCACTTAATTTCACTGAACTCTGTTTCCCACCTTTGAGATAAGGTTAATAAAATTTTTTACACACTGCAGGTTTTATGTAAATGAAGGCGCTGGTAATGGCTTTGAAGCACGCAGGTAATGGGTGCTATGGAGAATGGGAGCTTTTTCATGCTTAATGTAATACACTTGGTTAATTGTATATTAGGATTATTTCAATACTCTTTGATTTCTTTTTTTTTTTAAACATACTAATGTAATTTTATTCGACGAGAGACTTGATTTCTTTTTTTTTTTTTAATCAGTTGGCTGTTTTTTCTCATTGATCACAAGAAATTCTACTGAGACTTGTAATTAGGTGTATGTGCCAGTGGAAAGTTCAATGGACACATTTAAACCACGACTGTGTGCGGTATTGGTGAGCAGCAGTTTGGATGTGTTGATCTGGGCAAGTTTGGTTGATGTGCTGGAGTTACCAGTAACCTTTTGTGTGTTCGGGAAGATGAAGAGTTAACTGTGCTGGGAGTATTGGATTGCTTCCTATAGCAAAAGCCTCCGGTATCCTTGCTGTTGTGCAGTAGTGCAGAAATACCTGGTAATTCACGTTTAATCCGTGACTTGCACCATACTGCAGAAAAATGGAGCCTCAGGTGTCCCCAGCAAGACATTTACGCTCCCCTGCCTCCCCCGTAGCGTGTGTACCTTCTCTTACAGGTGCGTCTGTTCCCAGGGCACCCTGAACTGGAAATGTCGGGAATTCCTGGGCAGCCTGTTCTCAACCTTTATTCCTAGAAGGCTTTTTGGTGCCTAAGTTGGAACCTTCTGTTCTTCAGGTTGAGGCCTTCGTTCCCCTGCCCGCTTCCCGCCGCTTCGCAGTAGCCTTATGCCCATCTGGAGATCGTTGTGCTGCAGTAAGCTCCTCCGTAGGTTGGGCAACTCCAGGTCGTGCCAGCTTTTCTCAAAAATGATGTTTTCTACCTCTCTCCTGGGCTCTCTAGTTGGTTTAAGCCTTATCTCGGAGTTACGCCCCAGGCAGCGTTACAGCGCGCAGCCTCCTCGTTTTGCATGAGGAACCGTTAAATCCCCGGGGGTTTTGGGTTGGTTTTCTTTTTTTTTTTCTTTTTTTTTTGGTGCTTGCTGATAACTTGCCGCTGGGTCCAGTGGCCGACTTGGCCAGCCTGAGCCCATCCCTGGGCTTTTCTCCTCCCGGAACGCGTGCCAGGCAGGTGTGAGGAGAGAACAGCTACGGGGACGTGCTGGCACCTCTGGCCAGAACAGCGCGTGGGAGGCAGCTGGAGGAACAAGGTCATTCAAAGTTCCTGAGAGCGCTTTTTAGGCCGAAGCGAAATCATACAGGAACGTTGTCGTTGACCCTATTGTAGGCACACGGAAGGGTGGCATGGGGAGAGCTGCGTTAAGTACGCGTTTCGCATCGGCAGGGTGCGTGAACCGGCAGTTTTGGTAAAAGCGCGGCTGCTCTGGGTCCTGGCAGAAGCGGTGGCAGGACTCGTCGTTCAGAGCCGTGTGCGGGGGCGAGCTGAATGGCTTTTTTATCGGTAGGAACGGTGGGGAAGTGGGGAGCAAAAGCTCAGCTACTGAACGTGAGTGGGGCGATGGGCATTCTCTAAATATCGTTCTTTATGTTGCTCTTACAATGAGTATTGTGGTGCTTCAAAAGCGTAATTGGGAAGTGAGAATTATAGTGTTGGTATAACCAAGCATAAACCTAAAATGAGCATTTCGTAGTAAAACACCCTCGTGCAACGGCAGCATCGGTGCGTGAGCTCTGCAAATCCTTTTTAGACAAATACAACACAGAAAAACGAGGGTCTGAGAGGCTGTCTTTGTGTCGGGGGGGAAAACCACGGGGTGTGGTGTTTCAAAAAAAGCGCTGGCAATTTGGGTTTGGCAAACATTAACAGTTTTTAGGATGTTTTTATTTTGGAGGCTCACCTGGTTCCTTCAGAGCAGCATTTGTCAAATTTTATTCTGGCTTCGTGTTGCGCTGCGGGGAATCCCTGAGGATCGTGGGGTTGTGTTTTGCAGCTACTGTGGCACCACCACGAACGAAAGTTAAGGACGGCTTTTGCACAAGGTGGTTGCACCCTTGGTCTCAGCAGCCGCCCCGTCAAGCCTGGCTGTGGACTGACTCGCCAGCTGAAGCTCGCAGCAGGCTCAGCGTCGGTTTGGCCGGAGCTGGGGCTGTGTTAGGATAAGAAGGTAGATGTAGCTTAACGATATGAGACTTATAATCTAATTGCTCTGCAGTTACTTAATCCAGCTTGTATTTTAAAGCTTCATCTCTTCTAGTTTTTCAACAGGGAGCTCGTAAGCGTTACTCCGCGTTTCGGCCTTCTGGTCAGGGCTGTTCTCTGGGGCTGTTGGGAACGCAGACTGCCTGCGCAGGAGTTGGATTATTTCCTTGCTTGTCTCCTGTTATAAGCTGTTTATTTCGGCCAGTTTGTCTCGGAACGTTTCTCATCAGATTTTTTATGGCTGTCAAATGGTAGTAGAGATGACGAAAGGCAACCGTGACAGTCTCTTTTCCCACCGAAACGTCATCGAGAAGAGCAAAATCCCTTCTGGATGTCTCGATTCCCATTCACTTCTAGTACAGAACTGCCGCCAGCCTTTCCAGTGGCTGATGGTAGAGGGAAAGAATTGATTCTTTTTTACTATAACCCAGGTGGGAAACGAGGAAATTCAGGTTTTGTGGTGTCTTATTTGCTATAGTAATCCTGATTTCCTCTAAAATGTGGTTGAGCTTCTAGAACGAGTCCTTTTGGTTAAAGGCTCCTGAACGTATTGTTGAGGAGAATTAAAATTTTGCATAAGCATCGTTTATAAGTGAAGTTTAGAGACAGGCGGATCCTGAAAGAGCGCAGAACTGGGTGTGGGAGAAAGCTCCCTTCAGCTGCTGGGCTTAATGGCTGAGAAGTTGTCGACGTGTGGTTGGAAACGTCCGTCTGTCGATTAGATCTCAGGAACAGCAGTGAAAATCAGCTTTTTGGACACCTTTGGTGGTAACTCTACCACCTTCTGAGATGTCCTCTAGGACACTTGAGACTGTTGCTCATTTTGAAGCATCTTGAGTTTAATTCTGGCTTGATGGTCTGAATGTTTAATTGAACTCTTAACTTTAAACACGTACAGATTTATGCGTCGTTGAGGTCTAGATTAGAGTCCCAGGAGAAAATACTTGACTTTCACTGTAGGCAGATCCATAAAAACTTGTGTTCTGTGTGCAGTGGTGCTCAGAAAAGCAAACAAAGTGGGAAGGTATGTAAATAGTGGAGCAGAAAGTAACGCTGCGAGTTATAACGTTCGAGCGCCGTTATATTAGCAGCGATACACCCCCTGCTTGTGTAATTCCCTTTGTTTCTGCTTCCCTGTCTCACAAGGACGTAGCCAAAATAGAAGTTTTAGAGATAAGTGGCAGGAAGGAGAGAGACTTATTCATGAGGAGAGACGAAGCCGGCTGGGATTGTCTGCTGTGTCTTTTCTCCCAGTAAACGCCATGACGGTTATAGCCGGTAACGAGTGGTGCGGAAAAGGTAAATTGGGCACTTCGCTGCGGAGGCGAAGAGAACGTTCGTTTGAGTTGGAAGACAATAACTGTGCAGAAGATCCCCCTGCTCTTTTCCAACTAGTTCATCCCTGTCTGTCGTGCTCCCTGCTCCGAGGAGGGTCGGCAGGAGCCGGGGCCGTGGGAGCGCGCAGGGGCCTGGCTGCAGGCGGGTTTGGTCGGAGGGGTCGGCTGAGGTTACCCGAGGGCTGCTCGCACGTTTGGGCACGCGCCTTTTGCTCGTTTCGGCTTGGATATTCAATCTCTGTCGTGTGCTGGCAGTAATCCTAGAGTATTCAAAACCACCAACAGAACAAAACCCACGATTCTTCCTTCTTTCAGTCACGGTTCTTTGTTATTGGAAGGTACTGAGTTTTGGGGTGGTGGGTGACTCCTGATTTCGAAGCCGTTAGGGTGGCTTTCTTACACAGGAGAGGCAAATTTTAAGGCAAAACCAGGGGTTTTCAGCAGCAGCAGATTTATCTGCAAAGGAAACACAGCCTGTTCGAGTAGGATGTGGAGTCAGCTCTATAACCGGAGAAATAAGGAAGAACCTGAAAATATGCAACACTCGTTTTTTTTTTTTTTCTTTGGAATACTGGGAAATAAAAACATTGTTCGTATTTCTGGCATCAGGATTTTTCTTAGAACGAATGACTTTGGCTGCCTGACAAAACACAGGTTTCCCATAAAGGTTTCTCTTCTTTTTCCCTCTGCAGGATGGCGGACACAGACCTTTTTATGGAATGTGAGGAGGAGGAGCTGGAGCCGTGGCAGAAAATCAGTGATGTGATCGAAGATTCTGTTGTTGAGGATTATAATTCAGTTGATAAAACTGCAACGGGTAACTAACTGTTTTAGTCTAGAATTATTCCCGTTACCGGTGTTCAGATTGCGAGGGAAATGGCAGCGGTTGGTCACCTCCTACCCCGCGAGTGCTCTTGTTCGATAGCCAAAACCCCGTGAATGCGCACCGTAACGCATTTCAGTTTCCCTAGTTGTGAGCAGAGCTCTTGGGTGCTGGGTGGCGCTGACGTGGTGGCGCGGCACGAGGCCAGGTGTCCTCCGGTAAGCAGTGCAGGGCGCAGGAAACAGCTTTTTTTTCCTCTGTGCCAGAGCAGTAAGATTTCTGCAGGGGTTGGAGAGGGTGCCCCGTTGGGCACTTGAGAAGGAAGCTTTGGCTAAGTTGTTTGCGTTCTACAGCCAAAGCGGTGGTTTCCTACGAGGAGAGAAATGATCATTTACATAAAGATGATGCTTTTTCTCTTAGGAAGTGCTTTGGTTGTGGCAGCGCTCAGGGGTGACTGACTTGTGACCCTTCTAGCGGTGCTCAGACGGGTGAGGAAGTCGGGCGGATTGTGTTTCCTGTGACTTAACCTGCGTAGTCTAACTAGTGAGATTAAAACTGGTTAATTATTACTTACTGAACCCACGGTTCGATGTAATCGGTTTCAGTCGTGGTGGATGGTTTTTGGGTTTGGTTTGGGGCGATTTCTGCCTGTTTTCTGCAAATGGAAGGATGCGCAACTCTGATGTTCAGGGTTTGCGTTTAGCGTGGAGGTCGGGGCCGTGGTTACCTGCTCGTGGTCTCAAGAGCAGACGTGTTAAACGGGAGTGTAGGCCAGTTCCAAGGTGAACGATTCTGGGGGTTTTTTTGCTATTAAAGGGGTGTTGTGCTTCGTGTCAGAGATAGCTTCAGCAATCTCTCTGCGTAACTTGAGTGAAATACAGAGTGGGTTTAGGGTTCTTTGGGATTGAGGAGCTGTAAAAAAATAGATTTGTCAAACTCATCTAAAAGTCGTTGCATCGTCTTTAGTAAAATTTGATCAGATGCATAAGCAATAAGGAAGGTTCTGTATGTTATCTGAAACTGATATCTTTGTTGGGAGTGTCTTAGAAGTATCTTGAACTCCAAATGTATTAAATACCTCCACCTAATACGCTTGTGATGAATATTTCATAGCTTTACTAATAAAAGTAATTTGAGACAGATGTTCTAAATCAATTACAAGAAATTAATAAAGGCTTGGTGATATCACTGTGCTATAATTAGATTAACGGTAAAAAAGAGGAGCGCGGCTACTAAAGAAATAATCTGCTAATAACAATATATTTATCAGTAAAGTGCTTGTACACTCTTCTGACAACTTCACGTGTGCCCCCGTAGGATCTGCTGTCCGCGTGATTCCCAGATCCCATTAAAACTGGTGGATTTGTACAGGAATCTGATTCGGAGAGCTCTTAAATTCGAAAGGATAGTGCGAAATCACCACTGTCTGAGAAACTTTCTTCTTTGTTCCTTTATTTATCGCTTGTTTGGTTGTCTCAAAAGCGAGAGCCCTGCAAAGTAACCCAGAGCTCCCGCATACCGCTTGCACGTGTCACGGAGAAGCTTGGAAAAGAAACCAAATCACGATGGGTTTGTGTTCCTGTCTCGGTGCCTTGCTGCCTGCTCTGATGGTGCCCGGCGTTCCCTCTGGCCGCGAGAGCCCTCTGGGAGGATTCCTGCGCGCTGCTGCCAGCTGGGAACGCCTTTCTGGTGCGGGTGGTGCGGGTCGGAGGTGCGCGGGGCGGCTCTCCTGGTGGCTTCGTTCCTTCGGAGCAGCCTTTCCCTGAAAAGCCGGCGTTGTGTTTCCAGACATTCATCACCCCGGTCTGTCCTAGAGGAATGAAATCGCCGCCGTGGCTACCCGCGATCATCTTCTGCGCGCCTTAATTCTGCTGGCAAGCGGAATGAGTGGCGGCTGCTGGGGAGCTGACGCCTTCAGACCTCACTCCGTAGGTGACAAACTGGAGCCAGGCAGGGGTGTTACTCGGCGTGACTCCCGTCTATCGCTTTCCACCGTCCTTTTCCTTCCGCGTGGCTCTTGCAGCGTGTCACCGATGGTCCGTGGCCGCTGCGGAAGCGACTCGAGCGGCGAGTGCGGTTGGGGCTGCCCTGCTGGACGCGCCGCCGGCGCCTCGCCCCGCTGCAGGAGCTGCTCGTCCCGCGATTTGGGATCTCTTTCCGCCCCGCAGCGCCAGGCTGCGTGTTCAGGAGCGTTTGTAGAATTTCTGAAGATGTGTTTGATCAGAGAACTGCTCTTTGGCTGCTGAAAAAAAAATCCGAAAATCTCAGAGGTGGGTTGGTCGGCTTTGGAAGAGAAGAGGGAGGGGAATGACCCTCACACCGCGAGACGCGGTTACTTTCCAAACCGGCAGAATTTATGACTCGGCGGCTTGGTCAGCTCTGTTAGCGTTGTCGAAACGAGGCGTTGGACCTCAAAATATTCAACGTGGCAGTTGGGCTGTTCGTTTCAGGGTGAGCTTGATGATGTGCGTTGTGTCCTTCCGATCTGCTGGGATGGAAATAAACTCTGTACGGCTGTGAGGAGCGTGCTGTTGGTGGCGCCGTGTGTCCCTGCTCGCCGTCACGTGGCCTGTCTCCTTCGTTGGGTGGTTGACACTTCAGCGCTTGGGGGTGGGTGCTGTTAGGTGAAAAAATACAGAAACAGGCTTGGTTTTGCACAGCTCTGGAGCACTCCAGTTTCCGTGGTGGAGCAAACTCTCCTCTTGGTTGCGTCGATGCAGCAGGGGGTGGCTTGGCCCGGTGACCCCAGGACCAGCGCAAACCGAGATCCTTCAGCCCGCAGCGTGGCCCGCTCGTCCCCAGCGCTGCATTCGCCGAGTCCCCCAGCTCGTGTGACACCACTTTGACTTGCAGGGGAATCCTTCCTGGCTCGACGCCAGCGAGGATTTTGAGTGGCAAAGTGCCACCGGGACATCTGTCACCTCGTCGGTCCCTGCAGTCGCTGCTGGCCCAGTAACTGAGGGTCACATCCCAGTTTAAGTTGTGACTATGTGGAACGCTCGCGAAATGAGCCGTGTCTGGAGTCATCCCAGCTTTCAGCAATCTGTTTTTTACGCTCATGGCTGTCGTCTTGCATTTTGTTTTACATTAATTAAACAGACTTACAAGCTAGGGCTGAAAAAGACCCATTAAAGCTCTCCAGTCTCCCAGTGTAAGGTTTTGTTGGGTTTTGTTTTGGTTTTTTCCCCCTCTAGGATGTAATTCACGAGCGAGCCTGCAGACTGAAAATTTATCCTTTTCTTCAATAACCGCAGCATCCGTGGTGGCACATACCCGACTTTCAGGGCCGTACGTTAAGAAACACAGGCTTGAACTTCTTGTGAGGTGGGTTGTGCTCCGTGCATTGATGTGCACAAACCACCAGCTCCCTGAATGAACAGAGCAGAAGCGCGTACTGGGCTGGATAGAAAAGACCCCGTGTCCAAAACCACCAGGAAACAGGATTTCCACCTAAAGACAGGAACACCTTTTGGCTTATCTTTTCCCATCTTTCAGCTGGATCCAGTTTTTTCTCCATCCTCTGCCTCACTTGGAGGTGATCTTTGCCGATCAATGCTCTTCCCCCTGCCACGCTCTGGAAGTGGGAACTGGTGTCTCTTTTCCAGCAGCCCCCCGCAGTCTAAGGCGCTTGAAAAAAATGAGGCGAGATGCAGCGTGGGCCGGATCCGACCCTGCTGGTGTAGCCTTCCCTTACCTTCGTCTCTGCCTAGTGTCATCTTCCTGAACACGTTTGGATCGTGCACCCTGGGGAGCGCCAGCCAGGCAGCGTCCAGGCCGTCGGCATAAAGCGTCTCCTGGCCGCGGGTCAGAACGTTTTGGCGTGCGGCGGGTCTGGGCCTGGATTGACGCGGTTCTGTAGGAAGCGCTCGCTGTTGGGGCGCAGCGAGCCTTTCCTCCAACTTCAGCGGCTGCAGTAGCGTTGGACCTGAAAGAACCCGGATGTCCCGTCAGTCTCGAGTCATATTGTGCCGCGAGTCTACGGCGGGGGGATTCCTGGGAGGCTCCAGCAGCGGTCGTGGGTGTTGGCCCTCAGACCTTCCCGAGGTGATGTGCACCTCG